TTGTTTGAAGAGTTTCTTGGATAGTATTAAGGACTCAACGGGTTTAAGGTATGTTAAGACTCTTCCTTCATTCTTTTGGCATGATCTAAAGTGAAACGAACGTAAAAGATACGCTATTTCATAATGAATCTACTCCTAGCAACTAAGATTGTCCATGTTATTCGCTATTCCAAGAAAGTATGTAAGATCCTTGAGTCCTAGTGAAATTCATATTGGTGGTATGATCTCCATAATGATAATCGATGGTGCAATGACCTTATGTCACTCCAAAAGGTTTAGAACGTGACTCCATAAGTCTAACATGCATTTTATATGTATCTACTTTACTCTACCGAGCCGCGCTATAGTCGGCCGGGTATGGCACCTATTGTGCAACCACTGATCAGTTTGAGGCCGGGTATGTTATGGTGATGATGATGCCCACAGAGGCGTATGTTTTTAAAAGCTTATGTATATATATGTATTATGCATTTCATGTCATAGCCCCCAGAGGCACTCAGATGTTAAATATTGTATCTCCTTTATCTCTCATTACGTTACTGATCCCTTGTTTATGCTTTCCTGCCTTACATACTCGGTACTTTATTCGTACTGACGTCCGTTTTCCTGGGGACGCTGCATTTCATGCCCGCAGGTCCCAATTGATAGGTTGACAGAGTTCCTAGTAGGTTATCAGCTCAGCGGAAGGTGCTGGTGCACTCCACTTGCTCTGGAGTTGCCTATTTAGTCGGTATGCTTTGGATATGTATTGATCGGTATGGCGGGGGCCTGTCCCGACCATTATGCTTTTATGTACTCTTAGACGTTTGTAGATAGATGTCAGGTGTATGGATACTTGTATAGCCTTGTCGCCTATGTTTTGAGTTAACAAATGGTCATGTCGGCCTTATAGGCCCGTATGTCACATGTATAAGTTTGTATATCATGTTGGGTCATCATATGTTGAGTATTCCCTTATGTGTTATTCTTGTTATCTCATAACATGTTTTCTAGCTCATTTAACCTTGATAGTATGATAAGAAAGATATGTTACGTTGGCACTCGGTTGAGCAATGCACCGGGTGCCCGTCGCGACCCATCGGTTTGGGTCGTGACAGCCCGGGTATCAGTCATGATCCTCCAGTTTAGGTCATGACACGAGATGCCTCTGTTAGCCCTGTGTGGCTATCGAATCCAGCTTTGCTGACATGTCCCCGGGGTTCTGGCCTCGATCCATTCATCAGTCATTGAGGGGTATGTTATGCCTCGGGGCGTTTCTTCTATTTTCAGGGTATGGTTGGTATCTTTCTTTATTCGGCTTCGACTCATTCATCGAGAGCATGTTGGGATATACCAAGCCCGAGGGGGCTCCTAGTTGGTCATCTTCGACCCTGATCTTTGATTGGTATCAGTTGTGGACGTCCGACCAAGTCCCGAAGGGGTATTCAACCAAATTGGGTTTTAGTTGTTTCGAATCCAGCGAGCTTCGTTCATTCAAACCTTGAGTGAAGGCATGTACTGCCCAGACGTCGGAGACTGGTGGTAGTTCCATTCATTCCATTTGAAAGCGAGACTCAAACTCTCGCAGCATCTCGTTCTCTCTTTGCTTGATTTTGAAAACGTCGGATTTCCTTGTAGCTACTTTGATGGCACCAACATGTGCCCTTATGAAAGAATCTGCCAGCATGGCGAATGAATCCATCGAGTTCGGGGCGAGGTTTTTATACCACATCATTGCCCCTTTTGAATGTGTTTCACTGAACTTTTTCAGTAGGACGGATTCGATCTCGTCGTTTTTCAGATTGTTTCCGTTCGGAACACAAGTGTAGGCAGTGACGCGTTCGTTGGGGTCCGAGGTTCCGTTGTACTTTAAAAGGTCTGGTATTTTGAATTTCATTGGAATGGCTTTTGTAGCCGCTTCCTGCGGGAACGACTTCTGCACGAACATATTTGAAACCACACCCTTCAAGATCGGGGGTGCACACAAAATTTGGTTGACCCTGGAATTGTAGGTCTCGACCTTCTTGTCGTTGGCTTCTATCTTCTTCTCGCCCGACTTGATCCTCCTTATGAGGTCCTGGAGCATCTTTATGATGGCTGGATCGGCTGTCGACCCGTTGTTGCTTGATCATTCTGGTACCTGTTTGCTCGAGGGGCCACTGTACTTGTGGTTTTTTGGTGGCTCTACAACTGAGCAATTGCCAGCTGTTGTGCCTGCAACATCTCAAAAATAACGTGAAGGCTGACCTCTAGGTCTTCCCGAGCTGGGGTTTTTTGGACTTCTTGTTGATTTCCTTGATGTATTCTCCTGTTAGTATGGGAGCTTATATCGATGTGCTGGGTATCGTGTGAGACCGCATCCGCGGGGATCGGCTCTGGCGCGCCTTCAGGGATTAGTGGTGGTGCACCAATACCTAGATAAACTACACCATTCTCTTCGTGGTTCTCAAGGCCATTGTTTTCACATCCATTTACTGTGTTAGACATTTGACCTGAAATTGAAGATCTTGGACAAGAAAATTGTGAATGATAACTTGTGTTATAGAATGAACCAGCAAGAAAATAATCACTATTATTTTTAGCCCCACGGTGGGCGCCAAACTGTTTACCGCGAAAATGGTAATACCAATTAAATTTGATTATGTGGTTCTAAAAATTCGTATTCTATTTTTATGCTAGTTGTTAGAAAATAGACGCTAAGTAAAAGTTTAGAAAGCAAGATTACTGCTTAGAGACGATATGATAACCGAACCAAACGGCTGGAGATCGGGGCCTCGAGCTGTCGTGTATGAGGCCTCTGGGTCGATTAGGGTGAGCGGCTTAGAGCGATCGAGGGAAGACTAACAATTATGAGAGCTACGATGATGGCTCTTTATGATCAATGATAGGCAATAAATGAAGAATAACAAATAGAACACGATGAATATAAGCAATAAATGAGGTCATGAAATCAAGAGAATATGTTAGAGACCAGAGAGAATGTTCTTGTGTATTTAATGTTGAGTGTCAGATGCCTTATAAAATGACAAGGATCCCCTTTATATATGAGGGGAAGTCACAACATCGTACAAATGCATTTATTACAAAGATATGGGGCCGGTACGGCCATTTAAGGCCTTGATTTGGGTCTGAACTAGCCCACTTGACTTTGTTAGCTCTAGTTAAACACCTTGGGAACTCCCTACTTTTCCATCATAACCGCTAGTTTGTACTGCCTCGAGGTTGAGGATAGGCCCTCGAGGGTGAACCTCGACAATATCCTCGAGCTTTTGAAATGTGCTTACGAGCCATCATAACGACGGAAGATTGGACCCTCCAATTTTACCGTATACACAGGTGTAGATAGGCGAGGTGAGGATCATCTACTGTTGGCTGCCTCAAGATATCAACTTTTGGTTGTTGAGATCCACATCTTCCTGGCGTATTGCCGAGTCACGTTCTATATATGTTACTTTGTTTTATAATTATGTCAGGGACCTTGTCCCGACTCACATGTTATGGTTATGTTTTCTTAGAGGTTTTGCAGACAGTGTCCTCTGTATAGCTTTAAGTATGACATGTTAACGGCCTTGTTGGCCCCTGTGTATCTATATAAATCCTTTTGAATTAGTTATGTGAGTTAAGTTCTGATATTGTTAATTACATTTATAGATGTGACCTATTATGGCCCATGACGATATTTATAGAAAAATCGGAATAAGGTACGCGGCGCTTGGTTGAGTAGGCACCGGGTGCCAGTCGTGGCCCCCTGATATGGGTAATGACAAAGTGGTATCAGAGCAGTTCTATCCTAGGGTTGTCTGCAAGCCATGTCTAGTAGAGTCTTGTTCATAAATGTGTTGTGAACAAAGTTATATAAGTAAGAAATTACAGGGCATTTAGGGACCGGTTACCCATTCCTTCTTGATATTATATCGTTCAATAGAGCAGAGTCATAGGGAACAAAGCCCTTGAACTTTGACTTGTTTTATATATACAGCAATGCCTATGACCAGGAATGCTACGACTAGTCAGAAGGGTAAAGTGGTGGAAGATGAGGACATGAATAGAGTACCGATGTCTAGTGAGGGCCTGAGTGAGGCCCCGATGGAAAATACGACACCCTCGCATAGTTCTCCGACTTCGCCATCACCCGTAGAGATGACGAAGAACCCTGTACCTCTACCTATTGTTAAGGATAAGGATATGGATATGCGGAGTGTAGCAAAGTTGTTGACTAGGTTGGTAGCCGCTCAGGCTCAGCGCCAAGTAGCTACAAGTGTTGGTCACGTTAACAGGGTAATTAGCGCGAGAGTTCGAGACCTCATCAACCTGGAACGTCCAGTGTTTACCAGATCTAACAAGGTTGAGGACCCACAAAACTCTATTGATAGGATGCAAGGACTTTGAGGGTAATGCATGCATCAGACACTAAGTCGGTAGAGTTGGCCTCATACCGATTGCGGGATGTTACGGTTCAGTTGTATGAAACTTGCGAATTGTCTAGAGGGACAAATGCATCTCCAGCAGTATGGGAAGAGTTGTCAAGGTCTTTCTTGCGTCATTACTTGCCGACAGAGATTCGTCAAGCAAGGGTAGACACGTTCTTAGCTCTTAAACAGGGGAATATGAGTGTGCAAGAGTATAGGCTCCAGTTTGATTCCTTGGAGATGTATGCCCCTCGATTATGGCTGAAATGAGTGACCGAGTGCATGGGTTTGTGGTAGGACTTGGGCCGCAACTGATTAATGAATGCTTCACGACTGCTCTGCTCTCTGGTATGGATATTTCCCGCATCCAAGATTATGCTCAAAATTTGGAGGATCGGAAATGACAACAATACGAGAATCCTAATGAGGGTCAGTGTAAGAAGGCCAGGTCTACTAGCCGACCCGAGGATTTTTCGGGCGATCCTATGTCACCATATCCTATCGAAAGTCTCCGACAGTTACAGAAGCCGTATTATAAGGGATTTGTCTATTCTGAATTAGTTCAGAGGATCGAGAATTCTGGGTTCTCAGGCTCGGAAGGATTCAACATAGATGAGGGCGCCTCCTACGCAGTGTAGTCAATGCGGTAGAGCTCATTCTCGACAATGTCGTCAGGGATCTAATGTATGCTATACCTGTGGAGAACCTATTCATTACATGAGGGATTTTCCTATGAATGATAGAAGCAGGATGGTTCTTCCCACCATATCAATAACAGTCTCCTCCTTTTCAGTACGCCCTCAAGAGCGAGGCTCTCAGGCATCCACTAGTAGAGGTAGAGGCAGGGGTGGAGCATCTAGCTGTGGTGGTAGTCAGAACTGCATATATGCTTTGGCAGGTTGTCAGGATCCAGAGGCTACACCGGATGATATGTCAGGTATTGTGATTATTAGTAATGTTCGATCTTATTAACGCAAATTGACCAGTTTATATTATTAATGTAAGAGTAAGTTGGCATTACGCCTAAGGGTTAAGGGAAACTAAGGCTAGCTTGAAAGCAAAGCGTGAACCCGGTTATTAAGATTACAACTAATAGGTGTCAGCACCTAGAAGATAAATTAACAGAATAATAAGTGACGACTGGATTAGGAAGTCGTTTTAGGGAGGGATGGCATCCTGACCCCGTGAGAGCCTGATATTTGTTTCATTGGAGTTTGGCTGGGGAAGATATATACATTTATAATTTGGATATGTATGTACATCTTGCAAGTTTAAACATTTCGAGGACGGATGTTTCTATGGGGGAAAGGATGTTACATCTCGCGTTTTTGTATGTTAAAAGTTTTGTCTTCAATTAATTGACGTAGACACGGGAGGGGGGGGGGGGGGCTATCTTGAGGTTAACGTCTTTGCGCTAATTATAACAAGCAATAAGTAAGTGTCAAGAAGGATTAAGAGTACACGAATTAAAGAAAATGAGTTTCGTTGAATGTGGCCAATTTGGGATAAAATACGGTTCGAGCGATAATACCCGATAATTATGGACTAGTACCATACAAGGTACCATATGACCGTAATAGTATGATGTGTAAAGTATATTAAATAAGTAGAACTTTTAAGTAATTTAAGATATTTTTATTATACGGGTAATAGGTTAATTATCGAGTAACGAAATATTACCTAGTTAATTAATAAGTTATGAGATAAAAATAAAACCTCCCAAAACAAAAACGTGGCAGCACCACCAAACCAAACCTATGACTAAGGGTCACATGTTCTTTATGTGTAAAAATAACAATTAGCCACTTTTACAAAATCTTTTAACAAAGATTCATACGAAGACATAAAATTAAAACATTAGTTATTTTCCTACAATTAGAACTTAAGAGAGAAAGAAGTCCTACAAAGGCAGAATGTACAATTCTCCAACAAAGATCTGATCCATACCTTCATTAACAACGAAAATTCTTGCAATCTAATTCTCCTACAAGGTTCCAATGAGAACTTTTAAGAATCGTAGCAACGTAAAATTTTGCGGGTCTAAAGGTGTATGGTGCAATTTTTTCCAAAAATATTATACGGAGTTTTCCCTACTCTAGGTATGTTAAGTCTATCCTTCTTTATTTTGGCATGAGTCCAACAATGGCATGTAAACAAACTAACAATACGAAAACATGATATTATTCCTAGTAAATACAGAAAGCTTTTGTCCAATGTCTTTTATAATGTAAACTCTTACTAATGGCACTGATGCTAGATTCTTATTGACCGTATGTGGATGATGTTAGTTCATAACGTTATATATATAAATATATAAGGTCGAGTATATATGGCTAATGCTAACTGCTAAGATATTCTTAATCCACTTGTTGCTATTATAGATGCAAGAATGTTGGTTTATTAATTTTTGGTTTAAGGATCGGATAACTTCTATTTACGAATACGCTGTGCTTTCCTTAAGAAGTCATAAAAATAAATGATATGGTAGTGTGTTTTCAAGTGACGAATATATTTATGTCCAAATAGAATCCTACACCAAAATGTTGCATGCCAAATGATGCAACGATGCTACCATAGTTTTTTTATATGGTGGTGTTAGGGTTAACGTGCGATTATTTTATCGGGTATTTACTACTTTTTCATAATTAGTAGTACTAGTTGAGAGTAAACGGCCATAGGTCACTTTGAACGATATTCTAATTATCCTAAAGACTCTTCAAATATTATTGTTTATCGTGAAAATGGTAATAACAATTAAATTTGTTGATGGGACTCTAAAAATACGTGATCTATTTTTATGCTAGTTGTTAAGAAGTTGATGCTAGATGTGTGAGACTTAGAGAAAAAATAATGTTAAGGAGGAAGCTATAATCAAACCGATATGCTAGTTATTCGGGGCCTCAAGCTGGTCGATTCGGGGTCTCGAGGTCGATTCTGGGGCTCGTTCATGAGCTATCGAGGCTTATCGGGATAGGGCTAACAGTTACGAGATAGTTAAGGGAGGCTCTTTATAGCCAATTATAAGCAATAAATGAAGAACAAGTACGAAGACAATAAATAAGAGCAATAATATCAAGAGGGAATGTTAGAGAGCAAAGAGAAGATTCGTGTATATTTCATGTAGAGCAGTTAAAGCAACAAAAACCTTACAAAATGGTAAGAATCCCCTTTATTTAGGAGAGAAATCTCAACATAGTACAAAATACATTAATTATAAAGATGTGGAGATGGGACAACTAGACATGACACAATGATTTGGGTTCAGAGCGGGACGGATAGACTTTGTCAGACATAGCCGTGTGTCCTGGGAATTCCCCGTTTTTACCCTAGCCATTGTCAATATTGCCTCTAGGCCGAGCGTCGACGAGCCTCGAGGGAGGAAGCACGATCACATCTTTGCAGCCTCGGGGCTTCAGATGGTCTTCTGAAAATGCCTTAATTAAGAGAAATTGGACCCTCCGATTTTGCCGTACACGGATAGTCTCCGCGTTTCCTAGAACGAAGCGATTGGAAATGGTTTTGATGCCCAACTATTAGTGCTTCCCGTGATGACGTCATACTAATGACGCAACCTATGATGTAAGCCTTCACGATAACCGGGACATCCCGTGGACTTGTCTTTTCGGCATCATTCAATGCACTATCGATTCCCATTCTTCAAAGTGACAGTAACGCTGTCGATTCAGTTTTCAATAACGCATTGATTGTGCCTGCCGATCTGTCTTTCAAATGCATTGACGGCCGTGTAATCACCCCCTGTAAATAGGGGCAAATCGGCACTATCTCTTTATCCGACTGCCTTTCTCCATTCAATCATTCCTTTTTTCTCACTATCTCCCTCCATGCTGACCACCATGTTTGGGGTTAGCGGTTTTAAGGTTGTATGGCAGCATTTTCATCACCTGTGTGATGGCCTTCTACCCGAGCTTCCCCTTGTCGAGCGAGATTATACTGTCTTGTCACTATTGTTGTTGTTGTTACGCCTATTACTGTTGTCATTATTGGCTCGAGGTGATGATACAGAGGGGGCCGACTTCTTCCAATCTAGAAGGATGTTTGGACTATACACAGCTGCTCGAGAGAGTATTCAGACTATACACCGCGGCTCACTCTCCTACTTTGGCCTGATGTGGCACTTCATTCTTTGGGTTTTTTCCCAAGGGATAAAATGCCACAACCGGCCACTGAACTTGCACGGCATGTCGTCCTGGAATGTGGACTCGGAGCGGCCGTGCAAGTAGGGTCGGTGCCCGCCGAATCTTCAACATTTGGCTTCGGCGTGCTATGTCTCTTTTTTCTGCCTATTTTGAATCTTCCCCCCTTTCCTCTTTATCATCTTCTCCCTCGGAGATATTGTTCGGTGGGATCGAGCTGGGAACCTAGAGGATGTGACGGTCGAAGGTATCATCATCGGGGATACACGTTCTAGGAGGTGGCACTCGGCGATGCTGCTACCGGAGATGAACCTTCGAGAGTAGACCAGACTCGTTGGGTTTTACTATGGGTGTACCCTTTCACTTCTTTGTTTCTGTGTAAGGACCCCTTGTGGGCTTTTGTAATCATATGTAAAGACCCCTCGCGGGCCGTTGTAACCAAGAATTTATGAATATAAGGATATTTTCTCAACTCTTGCCTTTGATGCTTGTTGTATTCATTTACATTTGTGGAGACTTTGAATGTACGATCCTGTCAACTATAGTCAATATCTAAACCCGGGGGGGGGGTGGGTATTCCTTCCGGCCTTCGGTCGATAAAAATGGCACCCCTCAAAACCCTTTACCGCTCCTCGGGCCAAACCTGGATCGATCAGATAAGCTTGGGCCGTCGGGATCCTTATTCCAAGTTGAATGGAAGTAGGCTTCGAACCCTTAGTCTGAGACTTAGGCTTTTGACTTTTGAAGGTAGTCCCCGAGCAAGGGTTAACTCGAGGCGTCTGGAAATTTGTTTTGGACACAATATATATAATCTTAAGGCATAATAGATAGGTCCCAGATGAGAGGCTGCCCAGATTTAGATGATATCCTGAGGTCGAACCCTTACGGACAGAGCTCGAGGTGCTAATTTTTCTTCTTGGGATGAGCCTTCGAAACCGGGTATCGATTCAAATCTTACAACAATGTTAGAGGCTTCTTGGAGACTAACTCATTTTTTGGCGGAGGTCCTCGAGGTCGGGTACCACCTCGGGATTGGGGATGATGTCGTTGACTTCTTAGGGCCTGACTTTCCATTGATGGAGTTCCTCGAGGTCGGGTACCACCTCGGGTCTTACGGTGAAGTCGTTGGCATTTTAGGCATGTGGATCGTCATCGTTTCTTCATATATAGAGCCTCTTTTGCTTCTTGGGAGATCGTATTATTTTAGATAGTTATCCTTCGATTCGGCATTGAGCCTTTCACTACCTTAGCGCTAAAGTATTTGTGCAGGTTCCTGCTTCAGCCTTCTAGTCTTGCCATAGCCAAAGCTGCTACCTCGGGGTCTGTTCGGCAGGGAGGGGAGAATTCCGCTCCTGATGCTCAGGATCAACGAGGGTTTACCTTGATAATTACTTCTTCGATAGGATAGGATCACCTTGAGTTAGTGAGGAGAGACAGCAGATGGGGGGAGAAGGTAGTGCTAAAGGTACTTTCCCTTGATGAGGGCATCATGAATCCTACCGATGGGTTCCTAAATGTGTACACGTATCCTTTCACGCTCGGTCCCCTTGATGGGGTTGTGCTATACTTCTGCTTGAAGTATCGGGTTACCTCTACGCAGATCCACCCGTCATTTTTGCGAATAGTGTTGATGATGAGGTTCTTTGTGGAGAAGCCGGGGCTTTAATTCATGCTCAGTCATCTCAGTAGGCTGTACCGGCCCTTTCATCATCGAGGTCTGCTGACCTTGCGGTGCCGATCGACCACACCCTTCGTTGTTGACAATGAGGAGGATGGAGATCGGGAGTGGATGAGCCGGTTCGTGCGGGTCCGGACTGATGACGTTATCCCTGCGGATCTTATGCCATTCACCGAGGAATGTAACTATACACGTAAGTGGTACATCCCATGCCTTCTCAAAATTGTTTATGGCGAGTCTTGTAAGCGCATTTTTTCCATTTCTGTAGCGTTGTCATTGGCGCCGGGCGATGTTCCTAATTTGCCTGGTTTGGGTTCGAGAGTTGGCGACCTGTTCGACCTGTGGCGAGCTTTGTCCCGGTGCAGATGGGAAACAAAACATTATGGTGAGTGTTGCGTTATATTCTCCCCTCCCTTCCTTCGTTTGGAGAGGAGTTTTCCCTTTATGCATAAGCTTGTTGTTGTAGGCATCGGAGAGCCTTTCAAGGCTATGCCGTGCTGCTCTGGAGAGGGGGAAAGGTTGCTGAACCCTGGACTAAATAACGAAATCAATAAGCGAGAGATGCTTTTTAAGGGCGATGGCGCTCAAAGCAAGGCAGAGAGGGATCGGGGCTTCGGAGCGGAAGCATTGTCCGAGCCTGCTGTGTCCGTGGTTCTTTGTTTTGGAAAGAGGGTCTCTCCGTTATTGTCGCCTTCTTTTTCCGTCGATAGTACTTCAGGAGATATCAGAAACCCAGGGTCGGAAACACTGAGCGATCGTGCTTCGACCGGAGTCGACTCTTTCAGGGCCAAAGAAAATGCATTGGCGGGCGGGCGCTCGGCCATTGAGGAAGCCCGACGTCTTCACTTTATAGTGAGTTTTCTTACAGGCCTTTCAAGCTTCGTGTTTTGCATTCTCTTCCTTCTTGGGTTTTCTTTTGCATGCTTTTGATGAGCTTATGTCCGGTCTGCTTCGTCATGAACCCAGGCTACGGAAAGCTATCGATGAGGAGAGATCCCTTAGGCTCTTCGGGTTGGTATACTTGCGGTATGAGATGGGTCGGAGCTTAAATTATGTGAGATACTTGAAGGAGCAGGTAGTGAGTATGCGTTCTGCCTATAAGTTTCTGAGGCTAATATTTTGTCTATCCTAGTTGCAGTAAAAGACGGAATCCCTGGCTCGTGTTCAGGATGAAGTTGATCGAACCAACAGTGACTGTGATGAGCTAAGGACCCGTGCAGAGGTTCAGCCTTCAGAGGAGAAGGGTGCCTTGGCTAAAGTTCTTGCCTTCGAGGTTCAACTCCGCTTGTCTTGCGACAATGTTTGAGTTCAAGCAGAAATGATTACGAGGCTTGAATCCGCGCTTTTGAAGGTCAGGGCTGAGATCATTAATCCCCGGACCGGAGCAATACTGAGGCAAACTAAGGCTGATCAGGAGATTGAGATTCATTTAAAGGATGCTAGTGATGCTCAAGCAGAGTTGAGAATGATCCTTGATCGCAAAGAGAGGATCAAAGAACATGCACGTTACAAGTCTCGAAGAAAGACTCTCGTGGAGATCCGTACCAGGGGATTTGTTCTCTCGGAAGAATTGGCGCGAGCGAGGGCGGACGAGCGTGGTGCTTGGTTACTTCTGTTTGAGACCAAGGAATGTGAAGATGAGGCCAGCAGGCTGTAGCTCACAGGGGGAGGGCATAGATTTAGCCGTTTTGCATGTATCTTTTTCAAAGCATGTTTGCTGATGGAGACTGTATTTTTTCGCACATGTGTATAAAAGAAAACCTTGTGGCTTTACTTCTTCTGTACCCCTTCCTGTCTCGAATTTGGCCATGTGAATAGGTCTCAGAGTCAGCGAGAACCCTAGATCTGTGATACGGCCCTGGGGCTCAATAAGTTGGCCCGGGGACTCTTACGCGGTCGGTCGATGCGACCTTTAGTATAAGCCGGCATTTGAGCTCTTACGCGCTCGGTCGATGCGACCTTTAGCATAAGCTGGCGTTTGAGCTCTTATGCTTTTGCTCAAATGTTTTGGGTTTAATCTTCGAGTCGCACTTCGACTTGAGCTCATTTGATGCACAAGCTTTTATGTTTTCATGGGCTAGTGACAATGGCTCTTAAGCCTCTAATCGAAGCGATCTTTTGTGTGGGTGGCCGTAAGGCTCATTAGGCTGGCGACAATGGCTCTTACGCTTTGCCCTTAGGCATATGTATTTAACTATCTTGGGTTCTGTCTCTGAATCGGGTTCATCTCGAGCTCAATTGACCCTTATGCTTTTGTGTTTGCATGGGCTGGCGACAATGGCTCTAACGCCTCTAATCGAAGCGATCTTTTGTGTGCGTGGCACTAAGGCTCATTAGGCTGGCGACAATGGCTCTTACGTTTTTACCTTAGGCATATGAAGTTAATTATTTTGGGTTCCGCCTCCGAATCGGGTTACAACTCGAGCTTAATTGACCCTCAGGTTTTTAGATTTGTGTGAGCTGGCGACGATGGCTCTTACACTTTGGGTCGAAGCGACCTTTTATTGGCTTTATTTTCCTACTTTTGAAGTATTTTTTGCATGACCCATTGTCGATTCGGGAAGAACCTCGATTTTGTGTCGTTTAGCGGCGATGTTCGAGCACATTGGGAGGTTTGGCTCGGAGGCTGAGTAGCTCGAAGCTTGTGTTTTGGAGCTGACATGGTCGAAGCACTTTTGCCTATACCGAGGTAGCTTGTTTAACTGGTTCTTTTCGAAGTTGATTCGAAGTAATGGCCTGTGATTTTGTAGCGATGGTCGGGCGTCCCCGAGTCATGTTAATTTGGCTCGTACAGCCGTATGACCGTAGTTATTTGGGCTTGGCCAGAGCCCTTTTTGGTCTCGAGTGTAGTTTTTTAGATGTCTATATCGAGGATATGCATTTTTAGGGGTCTTAGAAGTTCGATATATAGCCTTAACTTCAGGACCGAGCTTATGCCTGTAGTAAGGTCTTACAAAAATTTCCATGCCTTTGAGGTCTTACAGTTTTTTGATACTTGGTACAAGTATGATTCATGCCTTGCTTGAGGTCTTAAAGTTTTGTTGTTGCCTTATGTAGGTCATGCGGGGCCGAGTCTACCCGCACGGGGTCTTATGGCCTCGAGTTTTTTAACAAAGGGTGATTGGTGATAGTCTCCGAGTCATCGAGGTTGTTCTGGCTCGGGAGCCATTACTCGCGAGCTTGGTATTGCCTCATCGAGGGCATACGATTTCAGAGATTCCGACCCTGAGGTCATGTGTTTATTGAGGTTTTGACACCAGTCCCCGAGTGCTCGGGGCATTTTTACCTTGGAGATGTTTCGTGATTTTTTTTGTGTCGCCTCGTTGAGGGCTTACGAGTTTTGAGTTAAGACCCTGAGGTCATGCGGGTGCCGAATTATTAACGCCAGTCTCTAAGTATTCGGGGCGTTCTTGATAGAGGGATCGTTTTTGCGAAAATTATGAGTTTCCTTTGGAGTATGAGATGCTTTCGCAAAAGGTATTCTTTGATTACATGGCACAAATGTACATTTTTCACCATCGGGGCCCGGCTATATGGATACGGTTCCTTTGATCGTTTGGCCCGGTACATCGTTCTCCTACTGGGACCCCATTTGGCGTTTCTTGGTTCTTCCGAGTGGATGGCCTTCCTGGGGGGATACCTCTCAGTGTTCGGGGTTGATTGCAGAAGAAGCTTGGTATACTAGTCGAATCTTCCTTAGGTAGCATGCTGATGTTGCCTCATTAAAAACCTTGCCGGTAAAACCCTTTTCAGGAAAAACTCGATTGAAGGAAAAGATTACAACAAATGCTTTAAAACATTAAGGTCTACGAGCTGGTTAGCGCTTTGACTGCTTTGGTCGGGCGCCTGCATAAGGGTTAGTATGAAATATGAAATGAAAAGGGAGATAGTCATACCTTAGTATGGGATGTGTCGGTAATATTTCAAGGACCAATATGTCCCTGTCAATCGTAAAGAGGACGTGGTACGGTCTTCTGCTATGTTTTAATCGGGCTTAGCCGGAGATGTAGTTTGATTACATTTTGGCTCTTTCAATAATGGAGGTATTGATGCCGGTGCCACGTCATGCACCGCGAACATTTCCCTTGCCGCGTGTTGTTCCCCGTAGACGGTTTTAATCCCGTCCTTTGTTGGGAATTTCATCATTTGGTGTAGGGTGGATGGTACTGCTCTTATGTAGTGTATCCATGGTCGTTCAAACAAGGCATTGTACCTCATGTCTCCTTCGATGACATGAAATTTTACATTTTGGGTCGTGTCGGCCACTCTGATTGGGAGAGTGATTTCTGCTTTTGTTGTTTCACTTGCCATGTTGAATATCGGCTCCAACAGTTCTCCTATCGAAGGCTACCCCGGATACGACCGCACGAGTCGAGGCCGCATCAGCGTTCTCTTCGAGGGTCCTTTGCCCATCGGCTCGACCGGAACCAGCCATTCCAGACTTAGCAGCCTCCGATCGGGACGCCTGCAAATCCCTCGCACTGGGCTTCGTCTTCCTCCTCAACGGACTCCCATCATCATCCTCTCCTTCAACATCAGGGTTCGACCTAGAAGTTAGAGTAGCAGTCCTGTCGGGATGGGCGACGACTACCCTGCCTTCCCTTTTCCTGCTCGTTTCGGGTTCCAAGGCCTTTACTTCGCCGTCGGGGGGTGGCCTCATTTGCATATTTTCTCCAAGACCTACACCAACACAAAAATCATTATACTATTCTACCAAGGGTTCAAAAGGA